AGCCACTCGATATGTCCCTTTCACGTCAATGTTTCTCTCTCTCTCTCTCTTCCTCTCTCCCTCCCACTTTATCTGAACAAAAAATGAAAAAAAAAAAAAATGAATGCAAGCAGTACTACAAAAGCATTTCTTGTGGAAAAATCTGCCATATTTTTTTCTGAACTAAAACAAGCAAATAAACAAAATTTCAGAAGCTAGAATAAATGAAGCAGAAGCTATAATCAAACAAAATAACTTCTGAGTATGAGAAACTATCAAGTCTGGAGGTAAAAGGCTTCACCAAGTACCACAATAATGAAAATTAGACATAGATTAATATTGGTTAAAAAAAGTTTTGGTATCAGTCTTAAAGGTTAAATACCTTACAAGTATCAAGACAGAAACAAAAACAACAACAACAGTAAAATAACAAAAAGCAGGCTACTCCCAAAAGCTCAGAAAATATACCATCCACATATCATTTTGGAACACTTTTCAAACATCCTTTTGCTAACCAAAAGATGATTCAGAATGAAGAATTTAGGATTGGAAAAGACAGTATTAAGAAGTGGCAGTAGCATGGAAATCATCAAAGTATAGAGTTAATTATAATAAAGATGAATCCTTAAACTAGGAGCTATGCAGCACCTGAATGATATGCAAATTTTTATATTAATAGTATATTTCTAGGGAGAGAGTTTATAGCTTTCATTAGATTATCTAAATAGTTCATGGCCCCAAAATGTTTAAATACTACCACTATTATGGATACAGAGATTCTAAATAAAATTTTACAATTCTAATCCAGAGAAATATTAAAAGAATGAAATGACCAAGTAGAATTTATACTAGTCAAGCAAGAATGATTTAGTATTAGAAAATCTATTATTTTACAGAAGTAGACCTCGGGAATAAAAGGCCTTTCTTAAGAAATGCCCAGTCCTGCCCTGGCCAGTTTGGCTCAGTGGTTAGAGCATCAGCCCATGGACCATGAGTCGAAGGTCCGATTCCAGTCAAGGGTATGTACCTTGGTTGCAGTTCGACCCTGGCCTGGGTCGGGTCATGCAGAAGACAGCCAGTCAGTGTGGCTCGCTCTCTCTCTCTCTCTCTCCCCCCCTACTTCCTCCCTTCCTCCCTCCCTCCCTCCCTCCTTCCAACTTTGTCTGAAGATAAATAGAAAAATATCCTCAGATGAGGATTTTAAAAAACAAGAAATGCCCAGTCTTGGCCAGTGTGGTTTGGTTGGGTGTCATCCTGTGCACTGAAAGGTTGCCAGTTCAATTCCTGGCTGGGGCGGGGGGGCACATGCCTGGGTTTCGGGCTTGATCCTCAGTGGGGATGTACAGGATCAATGTTTTGCTTTCACATCGGTGTTTCTCACTCTCTTTCCCTCCTTTTCTCTCTCAAAATCAATTTAAAAATCTTAAAAAGAAAAAAAAAGAAATGCCCAAGATTTTAAAAAGTCAATACTAGCTATGAGAAATAGAACTATTTTTTTAAAAATATATTTTTATTGATTTTTAAAGAGGGAGAGACAGAAACATCCATGAGAGACATCAATCGGCTGCCTCCTGCATGCTCCCTACTGGGGATTGAGCCTGAGACCTGGGCATGTGTCCTAATCGGTAATGAAACCTATCACCTCTTGGTGCATGGGATATTGCTCAACCATCTGAGCAACAAAGGCCAGGGTGAAGAACAGTTTTTTTAATGTGATAGAGAATGTATTTTTTTTTTTATCCTCACCTGAGGACATTTTTGCACTTATCTTCAGATAGAGCGGGAAGGAAAGAGGGAGGAAGAGAGAGAGAAACATCTATATGAGAGAGACACATCGACTGGTTGCCACCCTCACGACCCCAGCCAGGGCAGGGGGACAAACTGTAACTGAGGTACGAGTCCTTAGTGGGAACCGAACCCAAGTCTCTCTGGTCCGTGGGCTGGCGCTCTAACCGCTGAGCCAAACCAGTCAGGGTGAGAATGTATTTTTTTAACCAATATCTACATTCTGTGTATTGATGCAACTCTAAAGGCATTTCCATTAAATTAGATTAAAACAGAAATGCCTGCTATCATAATTGTTATTTAATATTTTAAAGTAATTCTATCCAGTACAATAGACAATTGAAGAAAATATGATTATTAAAATGTACAAAATTAGATTATTTGTAGATAATCTTATCTACCTAAAAAAAAAATCTATGATTCAACTTTAACTTTATTAAGCTAAAAAGAGGGTTTAGAAACACAGTCACGTAAGGGAATGAAGGAAGGAGGAAGAGCAGGGCCCAAGTAAAGAATTACAAGGGTTTGATGAGTGTGAGTACCCTTGAGGCCGGCTGTGTGTACTAGCTAGCAATTTTTGAAGTTAGGAGTCTGTCCTCCCACAGAAACTGGAAGACAGAGGCCCTATCCTTCCCGCTAATTGCCTTTCAAGGGAATGGCTTTCAAGTCCTTGAGAAACACACTCCTGAGTTGTAGGAGATACATATACCTCTCAGAAGGAAGGAGGAATGATTCACAATTGTAAGCCCATTTTAGTAAATGCTGTAAGAAAGTAAGGTGAGGGATTTGTTTACCTTCAGTTGTTGACTAGAAACAGTAAATCCTCCTGGTAGCCTTGAGCTTTCCCGGTAGCCATCTCAGGCAGGCATTTTATGGAGGGGGCTGGGGTCATCCTAGGCTCTATGCTGCTAGAAGCCTTGCTAGAGTTTGGTTGTCTCTTAGTGCAGAGATTTAGACAGAGTCATTATGTGCCAAAGGTTAGTTCTACAGTTCTCACAAGTACCACAGGTGTCCAATATATTAGTCTTTTTTATGAGAAAAATAGACTCTTATGTGTATTTTTAAAGTTTTATTAATACTTTTTAATGTATATTCCTGTTGACCTAGTAATTCCTCTTAAAGAAATGTATACTAAAGTAATAATCCAAAATTTAGTCAGGCATTTATGTATGAGGATATTCATCAAAGTAGTAACAGAAAAATTGGAAACAAATGCATCCAACATTTAAAAATGTATAAGTAAATGTATATCCTTTAGCCTTTTAGATTGTCAGAAATCCAAAAGCATCAAGAGCCATTGATTTATGAAGCTATAGGAGCAGGCATTCACAAATTGCTGGAGGGGCTTACCCACTGGAGAGCAATTTGACAATCTTAACAAAATTACTAATCCATTTACCTTGAGACCTAGTACTTCCACTTCTGGGAATGTATTCCGCAGTGACATCTTTACATGTATGAAATTGTTATGTACAGGCTATTCATTACATCATGATTTATAATAGCAAAAGAAAGGAAACAACAGAGCAAACACTAATTAAATGAACTATGGAATTTATGCAAAGGATTACTATACAACTGGAAAAAGGATGAAGAGCCTCATATCTATGCATTCAATATGGTAGCCACTACACATGGCTATTTAAATTTGAATTAATTAAAATTAAATAAAATTTAAAATTCAGTTCTTTGGTTCACTAGCCACAGTTAAAAGTGCTCAGCAGCTACACATGGCTGATAGCTACCCAGTTGGATAGCACAGATATAGAACATTTCCATCAGAGCAGGAAGTTCTATTAGACCATGCTGAGTTATATAGTGAGTATAAAAATATCTCTAAAATTCTTATATTACTTTTTCAGTAAAGGCACCTAAAGATAGAAAATATTACATCAAACAAAAGTGAGGTTCTTTGTGAAAAATTAAAACCTGAGTTCCAAATGCATATGGAATCCTTTCACAGATATTTTCTTAAAATCAGTAACTGCCCATTTTCTCCTATCAGTTTACCATTTTCAGATGTATCACTGTGCCAGGTGAATTACATATTATGGAAAAAATTCACTTGGTAGCAGTTGTTGAAAGCGAACACAGTGTAAAAGATTCTTGGTGAATGAATTACTTTGGGGCTAGCCTTTACTGTTTTTTGTATGCAGAAGGCTTGACTCAGGCATACCTAAAGATGTAACCTTCCTCACCTATTTATTGAATGCATGCTCTAACTCTAAATTTGCTAGGTGCTATAGGAAAATGTTACAGCTATAATCACACCTCTCTGGAGTATTCTGAAATTAGGTTGTGATATAGCAATATAGTTGGTCTTTGTCTCAGTGCCTTGCACATAGCTTCTGAAACCTTTGGAACCTCCTGAGTAAGAAGAGTGTCTTTGGCATGTTAATGAAATGATTCTTGGTGAGGGGCTCCTGCTTAGTTTCAGTATGGGGACTGGTTGCCAGAAAGACTAAACCTTGATTAGAAACTTAAAATGTTCAGCACTACATTCCAACCTTTGGGGAGGAGAGAACAGCTAGAGATTCAGATAATCATCAGTGGTCAGTGATTTACTCAGTCATGCTTATGTAATGAAACCTCCATAAAACCTCTAAACAAGGTTCTGGAAGCTTCCTGATTGGTGAACACTCAGTGGTGCTGAAAGGGAGACACATGGAGAGGGCTTACCATGCACCCTCCCACTCATCCTGCTTTATGCATCACTTCCATTTGGCTGTTCCTGGGTTCCATCTTTTATTAAAAACTAATAATAGTTATTAAACTGCTTTCTTGAGTTCTGTGAGTCTTTCTACAGATTTATCAAACCTGAGGGAGGGAGTCGTGGGAACCCAGGGTCAGTCAGAAGTATGAGTACATGGGATTTGTATTTTGCATCTGAAATGGGGACAGTCTTGTAGGACTGAACCCTTTAACATGTGGGATCTGATACCGACTCCAGGTAGATAGTGTCAGAATTAAACTGAATTACCAGACACCCAGTTGGAGAAGTGCTGGAAAAAAGCACCACATATGTTATGTCTAGAGGGCGAGAGAAAACCCTCAAGGCATACCTTTATATGTCTGCAGAACATAGTAAAATGTTTATTTCAGAGTCTGGCTTATTTTTATTATTTTCTAAAAAGAAAATAATAGCAACTAATTACCACATTAGCATGCAGTGTTTTTTAAAAATAGAGAATTGTACTATAAATTTGAGGTACTAATAAATAATTAATTTTAAACAGATCTACAAAAAATAAGGAAATTCTCCCTCTGGAAAATAAAGCTGCAGACTTTAGAGAAAAAGAATCATCTTTGAATTTGTCTTACCAAAGTCATGATTGCTCTGGTGCCTGTCTGATAAAAATGCCACTAACCAAGGGAGAAAACCCTCTGCAGCTACCAATTACATGCCACTTCCAAAGACGACATGCAAAGACAAACTCTCATTCTTCAGCACTCCACGTGAGTTATAAAACCCCTTGTGGAAGGAGTCTACGAAGCATGGATGAAGTTTTTCGTTACCTGCTTGAGACAGAGTGTAACTTTTTATTTACAGATAACTTTTCTTTCAATACCTATGTTCAGTTGACTCGGAATTATCCAAAGCAAGAAGAAATTGTTTCTGATCTGGATATTAGCAATGGAGTGGAATTGGTGCCCATTTCTTTCTGTAATGAAATTGACAATAGAAAGCTTCCACACTTTAAGTACAGAAAGACTGTGTGGCCACGAGCATATTACCTAAACAACTTTTCCAACATGTTTACTGATTCATGTGACTGTTCTGAGGGCTGCATAGACATGTGAGTAGAATAACATGGCATTTCAAAAACCCTTCTGAATGTTAGGGATACATGTTAAGTCCTGCTATGTATCAATCTGTCTGTCTGTCTGTCTATCTAAAACTATTCAACAAGAGTCTAAAATGGAAAGATGCACTCTCTCACTGGCAATGGGAAAGAAAATTCTGCACCAACTATTATAGTAATTTGAAAATTATTTCCTCCAAGGATGAGTATTTTCTTTAAGCTAGTACCATAATCACAATTACAACTAGTCCCATGTAACTATGACAGTTGCATTACATACATTTTATTTAATTCTCACAAAACCCCATGAGGTAGTGATATTATTTCCATGTCACAAATAAGGAAATTGAGAGGCCAGATTATAAGGTCATAGGACAAACAAATTGAAGAGCTACAATTCGAACCCATGCTCTTAACCATATGTTATATGTTGTGTTTTACTGTTGCAAGTAATTTATTTGCAGTATTTTTAGAAAGTTAATGGTGGTTATAATTAGTACTCTCTTGATCATAACATCAACATCATATAAAACAAATGAAAACATGTTCTAATATATTAGGACTTTGAAATCACTTTGTTTTAAGGGTGTGTAACATACATGTTTTTGTAGGTATGCATACAGTCGTCCCTCCACTTCACGTTTCAACTTTTGCAGCTTCATTCTATATCACGGTTTTTTCAAATATATCAAATATATTAAAAAGTTGATTGAGACAATGAAAATGATACAGCATGCGCTTGGTTGTCTGAGTCAGTTATACACCCCTGTATTAAAATTAAAATTACTGTATGTATGGACTGTAGGCCTATGTATTCCCCAGGTGCAACCACTCGAAGGGATTAACCGTGATAAATGAGGGACGACTGTATATAGAATGGAATTGCATTATATGTACTGTTACATTACATTAAATCTGCTGTTACATCATTTTGGTTCAGTTACTTTAGGACTGTCAAAGGAAGCCCGTCACTGTACCAAGTTTAATTCTGTTTAAAAATAAGTTGTTTTCTTTTGTTTAACATTGCCTCTAAGTATAACCCAACTATGCCTGGCTAAGGTCAATCTCTTTCAGTGCAGGAGAAAAAAACTGTTGGACATTGTTTATTCTACTTTATGGTCAGTTTAAGGGATTTTTTGTTGTTGTTTTGTTTTTTATCCTCACCCAAGGACATTTTTGCATTTATCTTCAGATAGAGTGGGAGGGAGAGAGGGAGGAAGAGAGATAGAGAAACATTGATGTGAGAGGGACACATCGACTGGTTGCCACCCACACAACAGCAACTGGGGCCCGGGACAAACTGCAACCGAAGTACCTGCCCTTATCAGGAACCAAACCTGGGACTCTGGTCCAAGGGCCAATGCTCTAACTGCTGAGCCAAACCGGCCAGGGCTCAGTTTATATGTAATTTTAGAACACACAGGAGTAAACTCCACCAGATATATTATTTTAAACAGTCATAACACACAGTCATGCTTTATAGACCATGAAGGCAGCTTGAGTCCCAACAAATGGGAGAATTCACACCTAAAGAATAAAAAATAAATGTAGAATGTGACTGAAAGAGACTTTATGATAGGTATGCTTAAAGTGTCCAAAGAACTAAAATATTAGCATCCATGAAGCAAGAAAAACAAGAAAAGAAGATTATATTTAAGAGGTATATATGAAAAATAACTATTTGGAAATATGGGAAATAAAACATATGGTCATTGAAATAAAAAATGAAATTGACGGACTAAGTGTTAGCATTGGTATAGCTGGAGAAAGACTTAGTAAATTACATGGCAAAGTCTAAGATTTCTCAAAATGCAAGGGGAGGTAGATATGGGGAAAATGAGTTACAGGTTAAAAAATATGGAGTATAGCCCTGTTCAGTGTTGGCTCAGCAATTAGACCAAAGGGTCTTGCGTTAGATTCCGGTTAAGGGCACATACCTGGATTGCAGGTTTGATACCCGGCCCCAGTTGGGGTCATGCAGGAGGCAACCAATCGATGTGTCTCTCTCACGTCAAAGTTTCTCTCTCTCCCTCCCTTCCTTCCACTCTGTCCAAAATCCAATGGAAAAGTGTCTTCAGATGAGGATTAACAAATAAAAATATGGAGGATAAAATGAGAAACTGCAACATCTACAATAAAGAGCAACATTCAAAGAGATAATAGCTGAGAATTTTCCAGAATTGAAAAAAAAAAAGAATCCTCACAGTCAGAAAACTTACTTAAATAAGAAAGGAAAAGAAGACAAATCTAAATATATTGATGCAACTCAAAAAGTATCTAGGGTAGCCTAGCCAGCATGGCTCAGTGGATTGAGCATCGTCCCATAGACTGAGAGGTCCCTGTTTGATTCCCAGTCAGGGCACATGCTAGGTTGCAGGCTTGATCCCCAGTAGGGACATGCAGGAGGCAGCCGATTGATGTTTCCCTCTCACATCGATGTTTCTGTCTCTCTAAAAAAAAATTTTTTTAAAATCAATAAAATCATTTTTTAAAAAAAAGTAAGGTAAAGAGTAAATTTCAAAAACTCAGAAAAGAGGAAAAATAAGACAACACACTTTTAATCAGAAATAATAGAACAAAGGAAGAGGTGTATTAGCTTAAAATACTGAAGGAAAATAAATGTAAAACTAGAATTTCATACCAAGCCAGTCAGTAATTTAGCAGGGAGAGTGGGGTGTTCAAAAAATTACACAACAATTGAAGAGGTGCACATGTACTTTCCAGCTATAGTACTTCTAAGTATATATCTAGAGCATTGTTTTCCAAGCTATAGGTTTAGTAAGATGTAAAGTCATTTAAAGGGTTGTAACTAGCATTTTTTAAAATTAAATAGTACAAAAAAAATCCAAGTGCATCACACACGATAAGGGTCAAGTTTCATACCACTGTTGTTTCAGTTTATACCCATGCACACATACATAAATATGTGTACTTACATAGGATCATGAAAATGTTTTTTCTACCATGGGTCATAGTCAAAAATATTTGAAAGCTACTGCTATAGAAATGCTTACACACGTGCATAAGAATAGGCTGTTCATTGCAGCATTTGTCATATTGAAAACTTCAAGCAACTAATTGTATACCAAGCAACTTAATTAAGCAACATAATTGTATATCTAAATTCTGTAGAAAAGTTTAGAGGAATTAATTAGATTTGAATATAACACAGATTGGGTCTCATGAACAATACTGAAAAAAAGCAAGTTGTAGGATAATAACTAGAGTAAATATTTAAAAACAGTATGATATATTGTTTGTAGATCTATATGTATTTAAAAGTATAAGGGAGACTTAAGTCTTATCTGTAATGTTTAATTTTTTTTTTTTTTTTTTTTTTTTTATCCTCACCCGAGGACATTTTTTCCATTTTTTGTTCAGGTAGAGTGGGAGGGAGAGAGGAAGAGAGAGAAAGAGAGAAACATCGACGTGAAAGGGACACATCGAGTGGCTGCCACCTGCACCACCAACCAGGGCCGGGGACAAACTGCAACCGAGGTACATGCCCTTAGCGGGAACCAAACCTGGGTCTCTCTGGACCGCAGGCCGACGCTCTAACCGCTGAGCCAAACCGGCCAGGGCAATATATTTTTATTTTTTGAGGAAGAGCATATAGTGTATATGTTTTAAATTATATATATAGGAAAAAGAAGGACTAGACAGAATCATGATAGCTAATTCTATGTGGTAGAAATATGAGTGTTAATTGTATTACTGTTTATATTTTTCTGTTCTTTTAAACTTTGCGAACAAAATCATATCAAAAAAAGCATCTTTAAATTTTTACATCTATAAACAGAATCCTGCCCTGGCCGGTTTGGCTCAGCGGTTAGAGCGTCTGCCTGCGGTCCGGAGAGACCCGGGTTCGGTTCCCGCTAAGGGCATGTACCTCGGTTGCAGTTTGTCCCCGGCCCTGATTGGTCGTGCGGGTGGCAGCCACTCGATGTGTCCCTTTCACATCGATGTTTCTCTCTCTCTCTCTTCTTCTCTCTCCCTCCCACTCTGTCTGTACAAAAAATGGAAAAATATCCTCGGATGAGGATAAAAAAATATATATATATATATAAACAGAATCCAAATCAATGAACTTTTTTATTTTTCTTTTGCAAACATTAGCCACCACTCTTATGCATGTGTATAAATACAGAAAAATACAGACGAGAAACATTGAAGAAAAGACCTCAAAGTCACTTGTTGAACAAAAAAGGTAGATCCAGAGAGTTTAACCAGCTCACCAGTCACATATCCAATTTACAGCTGAGATACCCAGGTTCCTTACTCCCTATCAAGTTATAAGTCTCTTGTCATGTTAGATAATTATTTAAATAGAGGGAAAACATTTTATAGTTGCATGTTTCTTTTTTAGCAACATAGTAAACAACAAACTGTAGTAACCAGATAACTAGCACCAACTTCTCCAGTCTGTTTTTATGTCATTGGAAAGAAAGGTAATTTAAGACATCTACAAAACTATTTACATACCCTTTTGAGTTTGACACACACATAAGTTTATCCATTGTAGGAAAGTGGACCTAGGAAAATATTCACGAACAAGTCTCTGTTGAATATGAAATGAACAGAATTCATTTTGAAAAGTTAAAAAATATAGTTAAAGCCATGGCCGATTTGGCTCAGCAGTTAGAGCATCAGCCAGCGGACCAATGAATCTTGGGTTTGATTCCGGTTAAGGGCATGTACCTCAGTTGCAGTTCGTCCCCAGCCCTGGTCGGGGTCGTGTGGGAGGTAACAAGTCAGTGTGTCTCTTTCACATCGAAGTTTCTCTCTCTCTCCCCCACCCACCTCTCTACCCCTCTCTCCCCCTCTCTCCCTCCCTCCTACTCTATCTGAAGATAAATGGAAAAATATCCTCGGGTGAGGATTTAAAAAAGAACAAAAACAAACAAACAAAAATATATACACACGCACACGCACAGTCACACACAGAGTTGAGTATTTATTTAATGAGCAAATAGAGGTACAGGACAATTTATAATTATTTGTAAACTTTTGGTAGAAATTCTCTTGCACAGAGAATTTAAGGAAGAAGTTCAACTGTACATGAGGCAAATGACTATCCTAAGTACAATTACATCCTTTCCTATGTCATTTACATTTTAATCAAGGCAGTCTCTTGCCCTGGCCGGTTTTGGCTCAGCAGTTAGAGGTTAGAGTGTTGGCCCATAGACCAAAGAGTCATGGGTTCGATTCCTGGTCAGGGGCACGTACCTCCGTTGCAGGATTGATCCCCAGCCCTAGTTGGGGTAATGAAGGAGGCAACCAATCGATGTGTCTCTCTCACTTTAATGTTTCTCTCTCCCTCCCTTCCTCCTTTTCTCCCTTCTTCCCTAAAAAAGAATCAATGGAAAAATATCCTCCAGTGAGGATTAAAAAAAAAAAGACAGTTTCTTTACTTGGTGTTTTTTTCATTCTGACTTCTCCATTCATTTCCTTCCTTTTTAGAACAAAATGTGCATGTCTTCAAATGACAGCAAGGAATGCTGAGATTTGCCCCTGGTCAAGAGATAAAATAACCATTGGATATAAATATAAAAGGCTACAGAAACACATACCTACTGGGTAAGATACCTTGAGGATTTATTGCAGGGTGTTTGTATGTTTGAAGGTGGGTAGTTTAGGTGGCCTGTGGTCTTGTAGATGTTAAATCTAATTTTTTTAACCAAAAATCTAAATTAAGGAATTAAAAAATAACAAACCTGCTATTGTTCTTAGAATTGGAAGTCAGAGACCACACATGTATCATGAAGGATGTACCAGAACCCAGCACTCACCTGTGTTGAGTCTGGCTATCATCTCTCTCGAGTTAGCCTACTTGAGGCAGCTATTTTCTCAGTAAGAAATACCCTGTGCAGAGCTCTTCTAAGAACTGGGAATTCCCAGCCTTTCAAGGTTGCTATTAAAAAATAAACAGAATATTTTTTCTTCTTAGATAGTCCCTTCCCATACATTTACTTCTTAGATTTTCCCAGACATTTTTAAAGAGCTAATATTTATTGTGTGCCAGCTGTTGTCCCAAGCACCTTGTAAACATTGACTTATTTAATCTTCACAAACAACCCTATGATTTGTGTGTGTATGTACTGTAATATATATGATACATACTATCATATAATCCCCATTTTAAAAATGGAAAATTGAAGCACAGAGAGGTTAAATAACTCTTCCAAGATCACAGAGCTAGTAAATGCTGGAGCTCTGATAGGAACCCAGGCAGTCCAGCTATAGGAGCCTTCCATCACACTTAGTCTGTTGTTGTTAGCGAGGTAACAATATAAAGTGCTTTTGGTTTTAATTTAGGATGCCTGATTGATCTCTTGAATATTTTATTGACAGCATTTATGAATGCAGCCTGTTGTGCAAGTGTAATCGACAAATGTGTCAAAACCGAGTTGTTCAACATGGACTTCAGGTGAGGCTACAGGTGTTCAAAACTGAGAAGAAAGGATGGGGAGTCCGCTGCCTAGATGACATTGACAGAGGGACATTTGTTTGTACTTATTCAGGTAAAGCAAAGATTTATTTTCAAAGAAGTGTAAGATCTACACTTCTGAATCTCCATTTTACTAGACACCCGTTGAGATCTTATAGCAGCAAGAACAAGTGCAACAGTGTATAGGAGGAGCATCAGAGGAAGGAATGTGATGACTGGGAAATTGAGTACTAAGGGGATACGATGCTTTCGGAGGTTCCACATACTTCAGGAGGTACCAGATGTTCCAGAAAAGGAAGGCTCAGATAAAATTTGTTATTATGTGAGGCACATTTTTATTTTTTTGTCTTCATGGCTACAGATGCTTTTGGGTAAAATAAGAAAACTTTTTAAAGAGGAAAACTAAATTAGTGAATTATCGGCTATTAGAATTTTATAAGGTAATTTTGTAATAAATACCTACAGATGGTGGTTCAGGCAGTGACTTTAGGCAGCACACTCCGTTTCAGAGACTGGAGAGAGTTTTCCACATTCTGAACATAACTTCCCAACCAGTGTGTTGTTGTGGTGCAGGGATCGATTCTTTAGGGCCACAGCTGCCAGGCCTGATGTGCCAGTGTCCAGTAGTCTTGACCAGTTACCCCAGAGTGTTAGTCGAAGATCCCCACTCCTTGTGTTGCCTGGAAATGAGGAGGGTTGAGGAAACATACTCTAGAGCTATGTTAAAGGAAATGTATTGGACTGAGTCTTTGCAGCTGGGCAGTGGGGACCAGAGCAACCCTCCTCATTTGAATTTTCAGGTTCACCTCAGTGAAGGCAAGAATTATCAGAATTCAGAATAGTCACACTTGGATTCCTGCCACATACCACTGATAGACGCACAACTTGCCTACACAGTCATTTCTTATATTTCTCAAAATAACTCTTTGATGAAAGTCAGCTGCCTATAAAATGCCAAATAGTGTCCAGAAAGTATTGTCTTTATCCGTATTGCTAGAAAATGTAGTTAAGGTATCTCTGATCCAGCTACTAACTTTGGTAACTGTAATTTTGAGATCCTTGGGGGAAAATGCATAAATATTAGACTAAGATTTTAATGTTACACTAGGATGTACTATGAGAACAATAGGTACATGTCACCACAGATTTAAATAGGTCTCTTTATAAAAGAATATTGGTTTTAAATGATAAAGCATTTTTAACTAGACACCAAAGCTATAATCTTAAGGCTAGAGTTCACCTCTCTAATTTTCTAGTATGCTTTCTGATCTATATTTTTGTTTTATATTATTGTAGCTAAATTTCTTCTTTCACATACACCAAAACAGACAAGGGCTTTTTAAAAAATGTCTGATATTTTTTCATATACTAGAAGATATGAAACCTCTTACTGGTCTTTTATTATTTCTTGCAGTAGTTTTCTAGGATATTAATGTGTTTATCTTCATTCTAGAAATAAGATATACCTCTTAGGGTTTTTTAGTAATGGTGCAGAATAGAGATGATGCCCTTTTGTTGCTTAGCATTTACTGTGTTATCTTTTGTCTTGTTAAACTCTTTTACTTTCTGCTAGGAAGATTACTAAGCAGATCTAACACTGAGAAACTTGATACTATTGGTGAAAATAGAAAAGAAGAAAATATTATGAAAAATATGTTTTCAAAAAAGAGGAAAATAGAAGTTGCAGATTGTGAGGTTGAAGCTATCCCATTAAAACTGGAAACACATCCTAGAAGTGCTAAGGCTGAAGAGTGTCCACCTAAGTTCAGTAATAATCCAAAAGAGTGTGTTATGTAAGTAAGATCTTAGGAACCCAATCAAAAATTGATCTGTATTATTGGTCGAGAGTGATTATTCTCTTCCTTCCTTCCTTTTTTCCTCCTTCCTTCCTACCTTCCTACCTTCTTTCCTTCCTTTCTTTCCCTGTATATACATTTGCTTCACAGTTGTAAGTTTAACACTGAGAAATCTAGGACACTCAGATTTAAAAATCTAGCCAACATACTTTATTTCTTCAGTGTTGAATTTCTGGGGTTTTACCTTTAAAAATGTTATGACTTTAATCAGGTTCTTTATGGATATCTTACTTGACAGTTCTTTTTCTTTCCGATCACCATTCTATTCCCAATACTTTTCATGATTTTCTTCTTTTTTTTAACATTTTAAAATATGATTGCCTTTAAAATAGTATTCTCTTCTTCTAGTAAGGGTCAGGCATAGATGTTATTACTTAGATTAATTTCTAATGGATATTTCAGTAACATTGATATTATCTGGAATAACTTTTTTTTTCTTTTCAGAGAAATGAAATGTAACAATATTTCAAGAATTCAGTATCATTCAGTCATTAGAACTCCAAAAGCCAAGATAGCCATTATTCAACCCGATGGGAAAAAGATGGTAAAAATTGCAAAATGTAGATGGGGCCCTTCTGAGAACATTAACTATGGTCTCACTTTTCTATCTTTTACTTAGTTCAAATTGTTTGTGCTACTTAATAAGATGTAGGATTTCTTTTACTGTTTTGAAGTGGGAGTACTGTTGAAGTGTTAATGACCACGTTTTATTTACTTAGTATCCTCCATGGTGGTAAGCATGTTCCCAAACTTAGATTTATAAGGAGAATGTCGGTCATGATCTGAGAGTGTGTTCCACTGAGACTGAAAGCTGTCCTGTTCTGAGAATATGTAGAAGCTGAAGTATTTGAGTTGGTAATAATAAGATGAAAAATATTAAGTAATTTAGGTTAAGGAGATAAGGTTGTGAGATGCATGAAAAAGAAAATATGTGACCTAGTGAAAAGTCATCAAGAAATCAACATTTTACATGATAGCCTCTGAAGATACAATTTTGAATCTAAACTGAGAAGAACAGTTAGGGACTGTAACTTAGAAGTAGAGAAAGATGCAGGAAAAAGAGGCAGACATAATGGTGGTTCACATTAGGGCTCTGATGAAAAATAAAAACTCTGCCCTGGGTGGTATGCAAATTTTGCTCTCTGCCTACTAAACACAGTAGAAACCTCTTCAGCATCACATACATAATTATGAAAATTGAGCCATGGGATCGCATAGACCTTGTTTGACCTCCAGCTCTGCTGCTTTCTAGCTGGGTGACATCTCCTTGTCTGCATTTCTTTATCTGTTAAATGAGGATAATAGTATTTAAGTCAGTTAGGAAGATTAAGTGAGATAAACATCAGAAACATGTAGCACCATGCTTGACACTCAGATAAGTGCTCAATAAATGTTGACCATTTAAGTACTTGAATAACAATAATGGTCAGCTTTTACTGAACAGTTAGTTGTGCCATTCATTGTGCATGCTAAGCAAATAACTCTTTTTTTGTTTTGTTTTTATTTTTATTAATCTTCACCCAAGAATATTTTTTTCACTGCTTTTTAGATAGAGTGGAAGGGAGGGAGGGGGAGGGAGAGAAAGAAAGAAAGAAACATTGATGTGAGAGAGACACATCAATTGTTTGCCTCCCTCACAACCCTGGCTGGGGCCAGGGTTCAAACCTGCCATCCAGGTATGTGCCCTTGACCGGGAATCAAACTTGCGACCCTTGGTCCACATGCCTAACCACTGAACCAAACCGGCCAGGGCAGCAGAATACTGTTTCTAAAAGTTACTGTCATTTGCTTTGCCCTGGCCAGTTTGACTCAGTGGTTAGAGTGTCGGCCCGGGGACCAAAGAGTCAGGGATTCTATTCCGGTTAAGGGCACGTGCCTCGGTTGTAGTTTGGTCTCCAGCCCTGGTCTGGGTCCTGCAGGAGGCAACCAATCAGTGTGTCTCTCTCACATCAATGTCTCTTTCTCTCCTTCCCTCCCACTCTCTCTGAAGATAAATGGAAAAATATCCTCGGGTGAGGATTGAAAAAAAAGTTGTTATCATTTTAAGTAACTGCAATGACTACAATATATAGATAGGCAACTTCTTTAACCTCTTTTTGGAAGTAGAAACTATCCAGAGTGTTTTTATCTTTGTTTGTTTGTTTGTTTGTTTGTTTGTTTGTTTGTTTTGGTATGTGCCCCTAGCGGGAACTGGGAACTGAACCTGAACTCTCTGGTCCCCCAGGCCAATGCTCCAACCACTGAGCCAAAACGGCCAGGGCTGTTTTTATCTTTATACATCTTATACATGAAGCCAAATTCATAGTCTGGTATCAGAATTGATGGATACAAACAGATTTAGGTGAATTTTATTTTGAATTTTAATGCCTAAAGAATGTCTTGACTGTTTTTATAGTCTTTGTAGCTGTAGCTTACTCACATGCCTACAAGTAGAACACAGCCCAAAGGGCTCCATCACTCCTATGTTTCCTTATGATATCAGCTTTGAGGCTTTCAAAACCAGTGTGGTAGCTACAGCCTATAAAGATTGACACTTGATGAAAGGGGCCTAACTACTAAATTAAATTCTCTTTCCTGACCTAGAAGGTAATATCTTTCTTGTGTTCTTTTAAGGGATTTACTTCCTCAGAATCTGTCAGCTCTGAAGATAACGATGGATTTAAACCAGTCCAAGTGCATCTGAACTCTAAAGCCAAGGAGACAGAAAGTAGGCTTTGTTTAACTCTGTGCCTGCCTTTTTTAAAGTCTTTTTTTCTGTCTTGATTAATATCTGTGGCTCATTCTCTCAGACTCCAAAACAAACATGCTGCATTCACCATAAGAGTTACTGCTTGTCTAAATGAGAGGTTGGCAAACTGTGTATAGTTTGTGGGCCAAATTTAGACTACCACCTGTTTATGTATGGCCCATAAGCTAAGATAATTTTTACCTTTTTAAATAACTGACAAAAATGAGGTGAATAATATTGTATGACACTTGAAAATTATGTGAAATTATAATTTGTGTCCATAAATAAAGTTTTATGGAAACGTAGCCACACTCATTTATTTACATATTGTCTCTATTTTCACGCTACAACAGCAGAGCTAAGTAATCATGACAGAGACCATATGGCCAAAAAAAAAAAAGCCTAAAATATTTGCTATTTGGCCCCTTACAGAAGTTTGCTGACCCCTTCATCTAGATATCACCAGTGACCTGAAATACGGTGGGAAGGAATGGGGTGGACAACTCTTAGTTTACATTGTCCATAGTGTTATCTGTGGTTTTGGAAGCATTGTCCAAACAGCCATTTCCTAACTTGTTTGGGGCTTCTTTAAAAAAAAGACACAGCATTCTTCTCCAGTATTCTAGCCAACACTGCTGCTGGGGATGCTCAGCAAAAAGTGAAAATATCGCTGCCCTGGGTGTTTGTATTTCAGTACCATAGTTAATATTACAACTTGACAAACCTGGGTTTTGGTACTTTTGCATTTCTTTTTTTTTTATCCTCACCCGAGCACATTTTTTGTATTTATCTTCAGATAGAGCGGGAGGTAGAACGGGAGGAAGAGAGAGAGAGAAACATTGATGAGATAGACACACATCAAGTGGTTGCCACCCACATTACCCCAACCGGGGCCAGGGACAAACTGCAACCAAGGCACGTGCTCCTAGTGGGAACCAAACCCAGGACTCTCTGGTCCACAGGCCAGTGCTCTAACTGCTGAGCCAAACTGGCCAGGGCGTATTTTTGCATTTCAGTATATCTTCCATGGGGAGACATTGCTGAGAGATGAGCCATTGCCTCTTCTCCCTTTGAACTTCCTTATATCTGCACTCCCAATTCCCTACCTAGTCTTGACGGATGGAGATTGGAGGAGGCAAGGCAAAACTCCTTGACTGAAAAGGTCTACCAAGAAAAGACATTTATGTATTATAATTATTTCACCATTGTAGGGGAGGAAAAAAATCTATTCCTCTTCCTATCTTAGTTTGTCTGTCTGGGGCCCTGCAAATTAGGCAGACAAAACAGTTTATTCCCATTACTATGTGTATTGTACATGTAACACATGGGACTACGGTAAGTCCCCCTGGTACACTGTTTCACATTCCATGGTTTCAGTTACTCACTGTTAACCAAAGCCTGGAAATATTGAATGGAAAATTCCAGAAATAAACAATTCATGATGAAATCTTTGCCATCTCACCCTATACCACCCAGGATATGAATCATCCTTTTGTCCAGGGTATCCACGCTATGTATGCCACTTGCCCATTAGTCACTTAGTAGCCATCTCAGTGATCAGATGGACTGTTGAGATATTGCAGTGAAAGGTAACCCTTATAAGTAGCCTAACTTTACATCACAATGCCCACATCATTCACCTCATCTCATCATGTAGGCATATCATCACAAGAAGAAGGGGGAGTACATTATAATAAGGTATTTTGAGAGAACACATTCATATAACTTTTATTACAGTATATTATTATAATTCTATTTTATTATTAGTTGTTGTTAATCTCTTACTGTGCCTAATTTATAAGTTAAACTTTATCATAGGTATGTATGTATAGGAAAAAATAGTATTTGTAGGATTCAGTACTGTCCACAATTTCAGATATCTACTAGGGGCATTGCCACAGATAAGGGGAGTCTGCTGTACCAAGAGATGAGTAACTCAAAGAAGGTGGCTTAGAATTGCAGCTTATCTAGAATCTTAGCCAAAGAACAATACATTTTTAGAGGTGTGGCAAATATATGGGAAACCATTGGTAGATATAAGCTAGTTAGTAAAGTTTATGTAGATTTCTCTGTTTCAGTCTCCAGGATGATAAGGGTCCAATATGGTCTCCAGTGATTAACTTTTGTCCTTCCTGGTAGGCAGAGGGACACCTTTGTAAATTTTTGTCCTGCTTTTAGACAGGGGGAGGCAGAGAGCTTTTCCTGCATATGCTATTTACATAGTTCTTATGTCAAGGAGACCTATTTTGGGATGACATATTCTGATTTCCTTCACCATTTTAATGCATGTGAACCATAATGAGTATTATTGCTTTTGGGTCTTTAGCCATTTTTATTGACGACTACAATGTATATAGCAGGCACTAAAAAAACATTATGTATTGTTAGGGCTCACAAATAATCTGTGATTAAAGTATGAGTACATGTAGGAACAGCAGCCAGCAGCAGTAATGATTAAATCAAGAACACTGATTTTGCCTGGCCGGTGTGGCTCAGTGGTTGAGCATCGACCCATGCACCAAGAGGTCACTTGTTTGATTCTTGGTCAGGGCACATGCCCAGGTTGTGGGCCTGATCACCAGTGGGGGACATGTAGGAGGCAGGCATTGATGTTCTCTCTCATTGATGTTTCTATCTCTCTCTCACCCTCTAAAAATCAATAAAAATAAATAAATAAATAAATAAAAGATCTGACATTAAAAAAAAAAACCACTGATTTTAGAGAAATATCATTTTTTTATGCCACCAAGGTGGCACAAGTATTTTTAAAAAGAAATTATTTTGCTTATTTTATTTGACATGCATTCATACTTTTGAATATTCTAAAAAGTTTACTTCTAAAAAGACTAATCAGAACATTTTCTTCTAAAGTATTATTGGTTGAAAACGGTGCCTGTTGAATGGTCATCTAGAAAAAACACCAAGCAGTAATGTGTACAAAGCCCATGTAGCAATACAGTTATTGTAGAGAGTGACTTCAAAAGGGTCTTTTTTTTTTAATCCTCACCCGAGGATATTTTTCCATTCTTTGTTCAGATAGAGTGGGAGGGAGAGAGAGGGAGAGAGAGAGAGAGAGAGAGAGAGAGAGAGAGAGAGAGAGAGAGAGAGATCAACGTGAAAGGGACACATCGAGTGGCTGCCTCCCACACGATCCAACCAGTACCGGGGACAAACTGCAGCCGAGATACGTACCCTTAGCGGGAACCGAACCCAGATCTCTCAGGACCACAGGCCGATGCTCCAGCCTTTGAGCCAAACCGGCCAGGGCCAAAAGGGTCTTTTCAGGCCTTATTTGGTGTCTCAAAGGCCTAGAGTGTTCCCTACATGCCACTGTTACAGCTGCTTATAATATACTTAGCACTGGCCAGATTGTTCAGACGATTAGAGTGTCCTAATACATGAAGGTTGTAGGTTTTTTTGTTGTTGTGTTAAAATTATTTTTCTTTATTGATTTTAGAGAGAGAGGAAGGGAAAGGGAGAGATAGAAAGAAACATTGATGAGAGAGAACATCTATTGGCCACCTCCTGCATTCCCCCCACTGGGGATCGGGCCCACAACCTGGGCATGTGCCCTGATCGGGAATCAAACTGACAACCTCTTGGTACATGGGTCAATGCTCAGCCACTGAGCCACAGCGGCCGGACAAGGTTGCAGGTTTGATCCCTAGTCAGGGCACATACAGGAAACAACCAATGAATGCATAAGTAAGTGTAACAACAAATAATGTTTCTCTCTCTCCTAACCCCCCCCCTTCCCTCTGTCCCCATCTCTTTCTTTCTCCCTTCCTCTCTTTCTAAAACCAATTTTTAAAAAAATTAGAAAATACTGCCCTGCCTGGTTTGGCTCGGCTGTTAGAGCACCAGCCCGCAGACCAGAGAGTCTGTGGTTCAGTTCCCGCTAAGGTCACTTACCTTGGTTGCAGTTTGTCCCCAGCCCCGGCTGGGGTCATGTGGTTGGCAACCAGTCAATGTGTCTCTCTCACATCGATGTTTCTCTCTCCTCCCCCCTCTCTTTCTCCCGCTCTTTCTGAAGATAAATGCAAAAAGTGTCCTTGGGTGAGGATAAAAAAAATAGAAAATACTTAAATTTATATTCCAGAGTTGAAGAGAGGTAAGTCAAGATCCACCATACAATAGAAAGAAGGCAGACATTAAAACAGACATTTCTGGGTTTGTTACCCCACGTCTCTTTATTATTGTAGGTCAGGTCAATCCCTTAACCCCTCTGAGGCTCATATTTTTCATGTATAAAATTGGAGTGCTGTCTACCTTAACACATTATAAGGATTAGTAGTAATTGAAGCAACTGTCATTTAATATTAATCTCAGCACTATTGCTCAGCCAAGTATATTTCCTGACAATCCCTTCTAGAATGTTTATTAGTGGACTCAAGCCCAAATCAAGTTGAAGATTCTGAAGACAAATTGCTGACTGAATCAGATGTAATAGATATAACTAAATGTAGAGAAGAAACTTTACCAGGGGACAGATATAAGCAAGTAACCCCATTGGATAACCTGAATATTATGAAGAAGTTTGAGGTTCAGATACTAAAAACCCAAGAGGAAAAATCTCCAGCATGTCAAAACCAACGTGTCTTTTGTAATAAAGAGTTGCCAAGTGAAACCAAGAATACTTCATCTGAATCTCTGGAGTTCAATAAGGGAAGTGTATTTTTATTGGATGCCACAAAAGAAGGAAATGTGGGCCGCTTTCTTAATGTGAGTATGTGGGCTGACATTTACATTTCTGAACAACTTTTTGGTGTGCTTTTTAACAAAATTATAAGAAAAATATGATTAACAAATTCTGATGCCAGACTACCTGGATTAGGATGCCAGTTTTCCATTTGTGTGACCTTGAGCATGTTACTTGACCTCATACCTTATTTCTGACTTCTATAATATGGGGATAATAATAATAACTGACTCATAGGATTAAGTGAATTTTGTATATAGTGCTTAAACAGTACCTGGCA